AAAAAAAAAAAAAAGAACACCAGTCATATTGGATTAAGGCCCACCCTATTATATCTTAATTTAATTACCTCTTTAAAGACTCTATCTCCAAATACAGTCACATTCTTGGGATTAGGACTTTAACATATGAATTTTGGGGGAACACAGTTTAGTGCATAACACTGAGCCTGGAGTGCAAGTTGTTTATTTGGGATCAATTCTTGTGGAAGGAAAGAAGGTAGGAGGATTGGGTGGATGGAGAAGTCACACCGTGATCCAGATCCAACAAAGCTTTGTCCAACCCTCTAGAGAGATACAGAGTATTACCCATCAGAGTTGTTCCATGTTAGGCTAGATTGGCCTGGCTTTCAGTTGTGGGCCCTCAGCCAGGCCATTGTCAGCAGGTCAACCCTGAAGGAGCCAACTTGCTGTGTGTACTCCCAGGGCTGGGAGGCAAGCCCTTGCTAGACAGGGTATCTGGGTGGCACATTCATATCTTCCACACACTCACTGCTCCTATGCTTATTTTTTGATGACTTTATGACTCAAAATGATTCCTAAATACATGACAGTTTACTGTATAATATATCCTTTTAACAAACCCTCCTTTTCTTAGAGAGGACCCACAATATTTAAACTAGAGACTTACCTTTCAATCTGCCCCATGGACTCTATCCATACACTGATTTTAGAGAATTTATTTTGACTACACAATACAAGACACTTAAAGTACTTTTTGACCTACTAACCTACGTATATGTATGTAACTATTAGCCTTTTGATTTCTCCAGGTACTTTAAAAATCAAAGATTAACTTTTAATTCTTCTTTGTTGAGCACGTAAGACATGGAGTGGCTTTTGATCCCAAACAATGTAATTCTGATCTGACTTGATCTTGAACACAAAAGTAATTGCTCTTGAATTGCCTTACCCTGAATAACCTTTGATTAAAATAATATTAAATCAATTCTCAAGTGATAGAAATTTTGAACATTTGTATACTTAGCAAGATAAGGGGAACAGAGGAAGAACACTGAAAAAAAGACTGAAGAACAGGAACAATGGTGCAAAATATAAAACAGAAACTAAATACTACATTGAGAGCTATAGACTTGATGTGTTGGTATGACTGGAGCTGAAGAAGAGTTGATCCATTTTCACAGAGGTATAAATTCTTCCTTTAATTTTTAGAATAATTATCATTTTAATTTCATATACAAATGAAAATGTGTTTTTATTCATTTTATTCTTAATAATGAAACCATAATAGAAGTTTTGCTAATTCAAAAACTGTCTTCCAAATCCCTAAGGTTCCATTAAAGAACACTGGATACTGAAAACTCTGCATGAATGGTGCCTGGTGTGAACCTTTGATATTGAGAACAAGGAGACTGAAGGTTGAATGTTGTGATATGATATGCCTCAAAAAAGTGCTCATAGGAAACCTTGAGGAACAGAAAGATAAAACATAAAAGCACCTTGTAAACACTAAGTGTTAAGTTCGTTATTATTATTAAATTAGAGATGATAAGAATGACAGTTATAAATTCAGGATTAAAAATGTTTTGAGGAGTTCCTGGGTGGCTCAATCAGTTAAGCGTATGACTTTTGGTTTTGGCTTGGGTCATGATCTCCGGGTCGTGAGATTGAGCCCCGAGACGGCCTCCACGCTGGGCATGGAACCTGCTTAAGATTCTCAAGATTCTCTCTCTCCCTCTCCCTCTGCCTCTCCCCTACCCTTCTCTCCCTCTCTTAAAAAAAAAAAAAAAAATGTTTTGGGAAATAATTTATCCCCATATCCTCATATCCTGCCATTGCTCCAGACCAAAGAACTTCCCGAAGGACAAAATTGTCAATTATATTGACAGATAATATCTTCTCTCTTCCACAACTCTCGCTTAATATAAACAAAGGGTGTCCTCTCTGTCTTGTGATTAGTAACAGCATTGTTATAATTTCTTGCATCACCATGAACATTTTCTTAATTTCAAACTTTCAAAGGATCAGAAATAATCTTTAAATCTTACCATGAGTGCTTCAACAATCATAATAAAGATAACAATAACCATAAAAATTCACAGGGAGCTAGCAGACTCTGTGCCAAGAACCAGGCTAGGTCTTTGCACATTAATGCATTAGATGAAATCCAGAATTGATATTGTTTTTATCTTGATCAATTCCTAATTATTTTTTTTAAGATCAAGTAAAAATCTGATAATTTTTCTAACTCTTCAGAGTTTGTTGTTTTTTATACTTTGCTTCATTTTTTTTATATCTGATTTAAACACTTGTCATAATTGATTTTAGTATCTCCCTCACTAGACAATAAACTCTGTAAAAAGAGGGGTATATCATATTCATGCCTGTTTCCCGGGTACTAAGTGCCAGGCACATAGTATGTGTGCAATAACTGCTTGGTAAAAATAGCTGAAGACACTAAATAAATGAAAATAAAGTCAATATGACAATCATATTTTTAAAGGATATTCACTGGCCTAAGATAAGTTACAGTCATCTTCAACTATAGACAAATGACTGACTACAATCATTATGAAGAACATAAGGGTACAAAGACAGCATACTTAAGGTTTAAATAGTGGTATTCATTAAGTATAATCTTATCAGAAAAAGTCCCAGATACCAATAGTTGATCCTAAAATAAGTAATAATAATAATACTGAAAGAGAAAAGAAAAAATAAAGGGCTAATCATTAGAGGACTGGAATCAGGAAAGACATAAGGATATGAGGAAATACATATTATGAAGAAAAATGAAAGAGTTGGAGTTGATTCTTCCTAGAGAGAAAAACTGTGAAGAAACTGGTCTCACATCCATAGAACTTCTCCATCTTGTCAGAAGTGAGAAGGAGGAATTAGGTTAGTATTTTACCTAAGAGTTAGTTAAATCTAAACTCATTAGATAGTCTAGTGTTTCAAAAAAATAACAGTTGATTAAGAACCTGTTGAATTCTTATTCCCATTGACTTTTAAGAATAGAACAAAAGGCTTGGAGTAGTCCTCTCCATAGTCCAAGGGCTGAAATTTAAAAGTATTTAAAAATAATATTGTTATTTAGACGAACCATGAAAGACTATGGACTTTGAGAAACAAACTGAGGGTTCTAGAGGGGAGGGGGGTGGGGGGGAATGGGTTAGCCTGGTGATGGGTATTAAAGAGGGCATGTATTGAATGGAGCACTGGGTGTTATACGCAAACAATGAATCATGGAACACTACATCAAAAACTAATGATGTAATGTATGGTGACTAACATAATATAATAAAATAAAAAATATATATATATTATTTTTCTGATTTTTTTTTTTCTGGGTCAAAGATCCTACCCCTGAGCAACTACAAGACTTCTTAGAAATGTGGCTGTAATTACTTAGGTAACTTTGTAATGAATGATAATTAGAAACCAAATCAAATTAAAATATAAATTGCATTAGTTTCTCTATAATTGGTTGCAATTCAGTTAATATCATCAAACAATTACCATAAGCATTCATAAATGATTCACTAAAGTATTTGGAGGACAGAATGCTATTACTAATCCATCCATAGCTAATCAATTTTTGTGGAAATTGAAATGTTTGCTACAAACTAGAAATACCCATTAAATACTTGCATCTTCAATTTGATTTGATAAATTCTTATTGACGCTAACCATGTGTTGGCCATAGCCTATTACACTAGGAGACGTGGAATGAATGTATTGCTGGCTTTACCTTTCTTTGAACAACTCCTGTAAGTTTCTCCATTTCCCCCAGAATGGCAGAAAGTACAGATGATTTTCCAGATCCAACCTGCCCTACAACAGCTACTAAAGCTCCTTCTGGAATCTTTATGTTCAAGCTGCATGACAAGAAAAGGAGAGAGATGATATAGGAAGTTCTTGTTACATTTTTAATGTTTATTCCCAGATAAGTTAGAGTGCTGAGCATTGTCCTTGAAATTGCTGCTATTCCTATGATACTAAATTATTCTATGAATACCCAGCCATTACAAAATGCAAACAACAAATGCTGCAGAGGAAACAGAGGAAATGAATAGAAAACAAGAGTAAAAAAAAAAAAAAAATCCATAAAAACAGAAGGTATTATGAGAGGTTAAAAAAGAAAATTCTTGTAAATTTCAATATATTCATCTTTTCCTTTAAAAACGCTAAGAAATAAAAATATGGAACACTTTAGAATTCAATGCTAAAAAAAATTTTTGTTTTTCATTTTCCCCAAACCATGACTTACTTTTTTAGTACTGGAATCCCTGTTTTATCCCAAGAGAAGGAAGCATTTGTAAAACCAATGGCATGATCTGAGAAGAAAAATAAATACATTTTAGAGCCAATTATCTTCAACCCGGAAGTCAAATAAATATTGAATGCAGAGGAAATGCTGACCTCCTATGTAGTTTGTTTCAATATTTTGAGGATGAAGCTCCTCAGTGTTGAGAAAGTCTTCCAAACGATTCAATGATATTCTTGTCTATCAAAATAAACACAGATAGAATTTATTTGGGGGTCAAGCAGAACTTCAACTAAAAAGACTTACAGCACGATTAAAAATTTGTGATGCAAATTGAAGATACTGACTAAATATTCAGCAAGCATAGCTTGAATTGTTCTAATGTTTATAAATAATTTCATTCCTAAAAAGAAAGAACGGCTTCAAGAATGAAAGATCAAAACAGATGTCATTTATGCAGGAAGGCATGAGAAAAAGAAACAAAAATTCCTTCTTAACACTCTAGGAAAGCCATAATAACTACTTAATAATTATAGAAAGATTAGTTTTTAAAAACAACATCAGAACTGTTGAATGAATTTGGCTTCTGAATATTAAATGATAGCTCTGGCAATTATAACACTGGGTTTCAGTAAAATAGCTACAAAATGCTTAGCTACTATTAGGATAAATAAAATCAATTTTGTTTTCCTGAAACTGACTTACATGAAATCTCTAGTGCATTTTTATTCACTCGACGCTAGAAGACACCTATTGTTAGTGGATAAGATGAAACTGGGCCATGGTTTTGTTTACCAAGTGTATCATATTAGTATGCAGGGTTGCTTCTCTCTTTCCTTCTCTCTCTTTGTTTTGATAATTGCTCTCTGTATTTATTTAGTGAAGGCAGAAATGTACCACTAGGAGTTGGAGAACACTTTGAGATACCAGACCTTTAGCTGGATTCTAATTTCAAAAGCAAAACAAAACTTATTCTAAGAATGGCATTTTTCTTAAGAGAAGAATGCTATGAAACAAGTGTTAAAAGCGTCACATCAATAGTACTTCTATGCCCTCTGTTGGTCATTATTAGTAAAATAACAACAACAAAAAAAGGCATGCTGTAACAAAAGTGGATTACTTGGTATTCACTATCTAATTCTTTATTCAAATAATATACTATTATTATAATTTCAATATAATTAATATAATTTAATATCATTATTACTATTATAGTTACTATGAAGTAACTGTAAATTACTATTTATTCAAATATAAAAATTTAAAGGCAAAGTTCTTAGATCAAAGAGCGGGTTCTAATAAGTCAAGCTTCACTTTGTTTAAAAGACTTGAGAAAAAGGATTCAATGGGGGACACCCAGGCAATCCAAACCTGACATTCAAAAAATTTAACAGAAAATCTCAGGGCAGAGGATTCAAGAAACTCACTTCTTCACATTCCCTGTGGTTTTAGCAGCTTTCTACTCCTTATAGTATTCAAAGAGTCTCCAGAGACTGGAGATTACAGTGAAGGTAGCCTGAACCAAATACCTCATACATGGTTTGTTGGCAGACTGATATTAGCAATGCACTTGTCTCCCTGCTTTATTCACTCAGTGCAGATGAAATGTTGCTGAACCCTGGGAAAACATTCCTATCCAGTTCCATGGAAAGCACCTCGCTAAAAATTTTTCAATTGAAAACAGAAAATGAGCCTTTTGAGGGCATGGCGTCTGACCCCAGCTTTTAAAAAGCTAAATAAAAGAAACTAACACTTAGCAAAGAAAACAAAATCTTATATTAAAATAGTTAAGTCATTTTGATAGAAGAAAAGCATAGGCAAAGAAGACATGATTCCTTCCATTCTTTAATGTTTTCTATTACTCATTAATTCAGGGAGATTAATTTTGAAAGCAGTGTAAAACCACCACAAAAAGCAAAATAAATAATGAAGAAAAGAAAGAAAGAAAATGTGCAAAACCACAGACTCCAGTAGATGAATGATTTTTAGTTTAAGCTTATTTCGGATGTACCTGGACCACAGCTGAGATTACCATTGGTAAATCAAACAAAGGAAGCCTCAAAATATTAAACAAAGACATAGATGTGAACACTTTGGTGGCTGTTAAAATGTTTCCTTCATCCAATAAGAAATAGATGCCAAATGTCACCAGGGACACCTGAAAAATAGACACATGTTCCTTCCTTCAATTACTCAGTGCTAAAGACAGGATGAGTTAAGGTTCCAAAAATTAGGGGAAAAATTTAAAACCTTTTTTATTGTTGTTTACCAAAATTCAGTACTATTCAGTACGATTGCTGAAGAATATAAAATAAATATTCAGTTCACTAAGATATACAGATCATACAACTGTGTATCTTAGACCATGGCATCCTTGAGACCATGCGGTCCAGCTCCCTTCTATAAGACACTGTGTTCTTACCAGAGTTATTACTCCCATTTAAAATGTATGCTAACTGGGGTGCCTGGGTGGCTCAGTTGGTTAGGCATCTGCCTTTGGCTCAGATCATGATCCCGTGGTCCTGGGATCAAGTCCTGCTTCAGGCTCCTTGCTCAGCGGGGAGTCTGCTTCTCCCTCTGCCTTCTGCTTCCCCTGCTTGTACTCTCTCTCTCTCTGACAAATAAATTTAAAAACTAAAATAAAATAAAATGTATACTAATTGATCTTTTTTTCAAGATGGTATATTATGTAAATTTATTTTCCAATGGTGTGTGTATACATTCTGATTCATATGTAATGATTATACTTTCTGTGAGTCATAAAATTAACTGAAGAAAGTATGAATAAATTATGGCTCATAACATTTATATTTACTCTTGTAAGTTTCATTTAGAAAAGGCAGAAAAGTTCATATATGCATGAGAATGTACTGACTATCATGTACCTAGGACTTATCTTAAGCAAATGCTTCTTGGACATTTTTACCAAAGAATTCCAAATGTAAATATTGCTTTTATTTTCATAATCCCCACATATTTGTTTAAATAAAAATAACAATATTTTAAATTACCAACAAAAGAGACCTATGGAATTTCTCCTGACTCTATGACCACCAGGAATGGTAACTTTGATTAAAACTGATGCTTCAGGGGCGCCTGGGTGGCTCAGTTGTTAAGTGTCTGCCTTCGGCTCAGGTCATGATCCCAGGGTCCTGGGATTGAGCCCCACATCGGGCTCCCTGCTCTGCGGGAAGCCTGCTTCTTCCTCTCCCACTCCCCCTTCTTGTGTTCCCTCTTCCGCTGTCTCTCTCTCTGTCAGAAAATAAATAAAATCTTAAAAAAACCCCAAAAAACTGATGCTTCAGTTCTATGTGGTTTTGTTATCCTCTCGCTTTCACTCATTGCTTCATACCTCAAGGCAATTTATACTCTAGTTTAAATAGCATGGGATTCCTAATGTGTACATGGTATGATGGAGAATGCCCTCAGTTCATACCAATTTGCCTCCAAATATTAATTCTATAACTTTGAGGATGTTTCCCAAACTAGAATGGACTTCCATTCCCTATTGTAAAATGAAAAAAGCAAAGGCCTTATTATTGCAAGAATGAAATAAGGCAGTCTCTATAACTTATCTGGCATGCAGGAGAAACATTCAATGAATGTTAATTCTCTTCCCAACTCTATATGGTGTGTGTTGGGTTGTGCTTAAAAGGGATTAATCACACAAATCAAGACATTCCAGAGCTGAAATGAAACTCTGAAATGCAGGTTATATTGTTTAAGAACAGACTAGCACATGTTTGTTCTGTGAGAAATTTACAAAGAAGTAAAATCTTATTATGTGTAAAAAATACAGACCAATGAGAATGCACATATTTTCCCCTTCTTTAAAACTTCCATTCCCTAATCTACATAAGTCAATGACTGCATTTCTTGAAAATTTTATTTCAGATATAGATTTCACTTTGGACACTGCAATTCCAAGTAATTTGGAGGTGAATCTGCAAATCAAATTTGAAAATCAAAACAGGAAATATTATACGCACTCACCAAGAATGGAATGCAAGTTAATGTCAGCATAGAAAATACAGCAAGATACCCAGCTGATTTTTGAACTTCCAATTCCTGCTCTCGAATTTCAATAATCTTCTTTTTATAGGAGGGCTCCCATGTATAAAGTTTGAGGATCTGTAAAGGAATCAGACAATAACTATTTGATAATCAATATCATAGAAAAAATAAAAACATGCATACATGCAAATATACACAGCATACCCCCACACACAATTGTAAAAGTTAAAAAAAAATATGGTGAACTCATAAAGTAAAATGCTCCTATTTTCAGCTGAGTCAAAATGTTTCCTTGAATTGTGGGCTTTTTTTTGCGGGGGATGGGGTAGGTGGCTGGGAGAGGAAAATCACCATCTCTCTCTAGCCTTATGTCCTTCTTACCCACCAATAGCTTATTCTTGAGTCAGACTTTGGCAACATCCCAGCTCTTGGCATGAACTCCATAGCAGTTTCCGTTTAGCTTAATCTTCGTACTTTTCCTGCTGGTCCAACTCTCACTTCAATCCACTCCCCATTTCTTAATAGCTACGCTCCTCTCCCTGGACTCCCAATTTCTTGGAAACTGACGGCATGGGACTTGAAGCCATTTTAGGAAAGGTGACTGGTGTTTTGAGATTGTAAATTGGAATATATATATATTCACACACATCCTCTTGGTTCTGTTTCTCTGGAGAACCCTAAAAATCTTCCACTGGCTCTGTGAACTTACACATGACCCTTAATTGCACACTTTGTTTCCTTGTTTGGATAATGAGAATGAGAAATTATTTTCTTGGGGTTCATAAGAATTATATGAGGAAACAGATATAAAGTGGTAAGTACAGTGTGTGATCCATAGAAAATGTTCACTAAATGGTAGCTATTATCATTATCAGAGAGAGGCCATGGTATCTGTTATCCTTACCCCTGGGATGCCGACCCCCCACACCTTTAAACTATGCTATACTTTCAACTTGCCTATATTTGGTCCTCTACCAGTATTCTAGTGTATTCACTGCTGGGACTGCTATTTCAAATTTTAGACTTTGCTCGTATCTTTAGGAGATGTTCTTTATTTTATCTACACTGTCCTAGTCCTACTAATAGTATAAATTTCCTTTTAAGAGTATCAATATTTAAAACCTATAAACATACATTGCTGTCCTTTTTATGAATACAGGGGTTATCAGTTAACCCACTGAGAGGTACAAGATGCATTTGGATCACATTACTTTGGGAGTGTATGACCCTATTACATAATCTCAGTTATTCAATAATTTAATCTGAGTTAAATTTCAGAGCTACTTAAGGCTATTCCTAATTTTAGATAAATAAATGATTATCAGTCTCTTCAGGGTATCTTTTATCTAACAATGTTTTTCACTTTAGTAATTTTCAATGTTGTGAAAGTTCTACACAGCACAATACAGCATAATTTTTATTGATTTCTAAAGTGAATCAATGTGTACATATAATGGGCATAACCTATGTTTATAGTGATAGATGCACCAGACAGAGGAGATTTCCTATGCAATTATCAATTCCAGAAGGAAATTCCATGTGGGCTTTGTAAATTTTGCCCTTTAGAAACATCTGATAAAGCATAATCCAGGTGCAACAGGATTTGAATCTCTATCATCTATCTAAAAGTTCATGAGGTTGGTTTCACTCTTTTATCATAGACAAAATATTAGCATGGGGTGTAGCTTTCCTATGGAACAAATAATTTATAACATACCTTTTGCAGAATCACATTTGTATGATCATTTCTATTCCACATAAAAGAACCTGAATGACATGTCATCATTCCCCCATATAAATCTGCCTTCACACTGAAGATGATGTTATGGCCACTCTTGCCTGCTTCATTCCATCTCTTCTACCCAATCCCTTCAAACAAGTCACATTTTGTGTCTTTTGGGATATTTGTGTTCAGTTGTTGGGTGAGAAACAAAGAGAAAACACCTGCATTTTATTTGGTTTTATTTAAATACTATTTTAGCAAGAAGATTCCTATACATCTGAAATCTGAAATACTCTGCCAAGAATGTTATATACAATTATATAATTACTTTGATATTAAGAACGATAAAAATTCATTTATTGACTAACATGGCTATATTCTAAATAGTGAAATTAAAGTCATATTCCTTGTATATTACCTTAATTCCATGTAAGATTTCATTGAGTAGTTTTATCTGTTTATCTTTGTTCTTCGTTTGGCTTTTCTATTCAAGGGGGAAAAAATGAAGGCATATTTGACAAAGGTTGTTAATAATTTAACTAACATGGCCCACAGCTATTTTTCAAAATATAGGCTATTCTCTCCATTTTATATAATATTTAGTTGAAAACCATCTTAAAATATTCATATAATATTATTCTATTGATAATGTTAAAATTAGTTATAAATAGATATTTTAAAACTTAAAAGTAGTCAGCAGAATATAAGCAAGTTGTGTATTTTACAAAATAGTAGAAAATATAATATTTATTTAGATGTAATTTGTTTAAAATTGAATAATAAAATAGTATCCATCTTCTATTAAAATGGGATAAAATTTCCCAAACTCTATCAATTATTTACATATATAATACATATATATTATAAGAGAAGTATCACAGGAATAAAAATAAAGGTCTGTATACTGTAAGTACACTATCTTGAGTGTTAATACTTGTGATTAAAATGTATATATTTTTTTTTTTTTAAAGATTTTATTTATTTACTTGACAGAGACACATCAAGAGAGGGAACACAAGCAGGGGGAGTGGGAGAGGGAGAAGCAGGCTTCCCGCCGAGCAAGGAGCCAGATGCGGGGCTCGATCCCAGGACCCTGGGATCCTGACCTGAGCCGAAGGCAGACGCTTAACGACTGAGCCACCCAGGCGCCCCTTAAAATGTATATTTTCAAATACTGACTCTTTTTTGGCAAATCTTACGTAATTACTGTATATTTATTCAAATATTTAACATTTATATTATTTTATACTTATCATTGCTTACGTATTGCTTCTTAAGGATTTCTTCCAATAATATTGTCATAATTATGATTTAAATAATAATAAGTACAATATCTGTATATCTAACAAAGGACACATTTACAAGTTAACATCCATAATACTGTTTGTGTGATTAAAGGCATATTTTCTGCTTAGCATATTTGTACATAATATTGCAGTCTCTTTGAAATTTTTAGGGCCCTATATTAAGGTCCCCCAAATCTATTTCCATTCCTAAATATTTGAATCTAAATTACTTAAAATACAGAATTTTTTAAAAAGCTAGTTTAAAAGTATTTATTAAAATTATAAACAAGCTTGTTATTCTAAATACTAGTGTGTTAATAATCCATAATTATTTCATAGTTATATGGTATATTCTAGCTCTCACCTTTAAAGACTAGTCATCTTTTTGGTAATTATTTGGTAATTTCAATTTTAAAAATTCAGAAAAATATAAAAGAAGGCATAAACCTTCATCACTTAAATGTATTAAAGTAATAAGTGAAAAATCTCCCCTCTTTCCATCTAATTCTACTTTACAGGTAACTTTTTTTTTTTTTCCTTAAATGTAGGCTCCATGCTGGGTGTGGGGTTGAACTCACGACCCTGAGATCAAGGTCTGAGCTGAGATCAAGAGCTGACGACCTAACCGACTGAGCCACCCAGGCGCCCCTATAGGTAACTATTCTTAAAAGAGTGGTGCTTTATCTCTAGATTATTTCTATGCTTATACAAGTCCATTTATATCTATATCTATATAACTTCATTTATGCCTCTCTATCACACCCATGTGCATTGGTATATTCACATTTTAAAAACTGGATTAAGGATATTTATGTACATATATGCATAATATACACATGTACATACATACATATGTTTCTTTCTTTTTTCCCCTAACATATGATTGACATACTTCCATGTCCATACATAGATCTTATTCCATACATAGGTATTATTAATCTTTGATCCATTTAAAATAATAAAATAAGTGTCATAAGCCGTACATCTGCACCTGTGTGGTTACTTTAACACGTGAAATCATTTGTCTCTCCCCTGACAGCGTGCGTGGCTTTTCAGTGCAGTGAACTGTGTCCTGTCTCTCCTTTCCTACAGTACAGCATAGTGCACACTGTCTGGTACATGTCAGATGTCAAAAAATGTATTGATAGTAAGATGAATGACTGAATGTAAAGGAAGAATATTTAAATGAATTCAGTTAAGCACTTACTATCTACTTGCTGTATGCAGTCACGCCTTGCTCACCGTGGCCCACTCTTCAGACAAAATGAGCATACCCTTACCTCCAGGCTGTGTGCACACTGTTTCTTCTGCTTAGTAAATCTTTTTCTCAGACATCCACATGGATTCCTCCCTTACCCTGCTGATACATTGTTTCTTTCCTGAGGACTTTACTGCCCCTGTATGTGAAATGGCCCTCTCGTTGTTATTCTATCACCCTAGCCTAAGTTATATTTCTTTGTATACAAATTAACACCAGGCATTATGTTCTTTATTTATTTCTTAATGCCTGTCTTCTTTAATGAAAGCTGGAACTTATCAGGTCTCCTCACTGCTGTACTTTGGCACAGAACAGATGTCCAATCAATACTGGTTGAATGTGGGGCGCCCGGGTGGCTCAGCTGGTTGAGCGACTGCCTTCGACTCAGGTCATGATCCCGGAG